ACTAGAAATCAGTGGTTAAGTTGTATTTTCAACCCAAATGTTCAGATATGTGCAGCACATTTTATGGAGGACTGTTTCCTGATCCTGGAAGAGTAGACTACAATGCCGGCTGTTCTGACTCACAGACTGTAAGTACGTTTTCATATTTAAAGGATTTGCCACTGATGATTCAAACGTGAGTTTTGAGCAGTGTAGAGTAGCGCTTGTTGTTTGTCATTTCTCCGATCACAAATGCAGACATGGTTTTATGTTTATGCGGCGCGATGCAACACAACGCGTAAAAAGACAGTATAAATCATTATAATCAGTAATTATGTCCCCACTGGATGCAACAAATGCCTTGTTTATAATGGGTTTGAATGTTTGTGTCTCGTCGCTCCGGCTGGGACAGGGCATCACAATATGGTAAGAGGCGTAACATTTCCGTCACACGCTTGAGGTATTCAGCCAATCACAACGCACTGGATAGCTGGCCAATCAGAGCACACCTCGCTTTTCAGAACGATGAGCTTTGTAAAAATCGACGCGTTTCAGAAAGGCGGGGCATAGAGGAGAAACAATCATGTATAGTATGTGGAAAATAATGTGTTTTTTTAACCTTAAACCGCATAAACACATTTCATTACACCAGATACACAAAATAATGTTATTTTTTTAGCAACGTCATATGACCCCTTTAAGAGTAAGACACAGTAAAGACATTTATAATGTTACAAAAAGATTTAGAATTCTATTTTTGAGCATCAAATCAGCATATTAGAATGATTTCTGAAGGATCATGTGACACTGAAGACTGGAGTAATGATGCTGACAATTCAGCTTTGAATCACAGGAATAAATTACATTTTAAAATATATTCAAATAGCCAGTTATTTTAAATTGTAATAATATTCCACAATATTAAATGATCAAATATACCTTGGTGAGCATAAGAGGCGTCTTTTCAAAACATGCTTTTTTTTTTTAATGGTACTGTATAATAAAATATAATATGTTCACTATGAATATTATATAATTATTAAAAACTACTATTATAATAATATAAACGAATATTAATAAATTATTATTAAAATACCCCTACATAACACTTGCACACCACAATAATAAAGCAAAGCGCATGTGACATTATCTGTACCTTTGGCAATGACCGGCGCAGACCTGAACGAGTCACTGTACGGCTTTCTGAACTGATGACTGTCTGCTGTTCTCACATCTGATTGGAGGACGGCCAGCACGCCCCTCTCGTGACCCTGCTGTGTGGGGGGAACAGCACAGGTCCCCCGTCCCACCACAGATGAGCTTCTCACCTGTTTGAATTTATACGGTCCATTACTTGAGGGGCCAGATGGCCTCGTTGCATCACATGACACATTAGAGCCGAGTCCTGCAGGCCCAGAGTTCACTGCATGAGCTTTCTGGCCATACAGAGACACTGATGTGTTTGCACTGGACGTGGAAACATTAGCAGCTGGCTTTTCGGGAGGATAAGGATGAGCAAACACCGTTTGCTGACTGGCCGTTTCAGCAGTGCCGTTCGGCTTGTTTTGTAGTGCTTTTGTGGTGTTTTGTTGGTTGTTTGTGGCTGGGGTTTCAGCGTTGCCAGATAACTCCTCTAGATTATCACACGCTTCACAAAACAGATCATCGTCCTCCACTCCGTCATCCCAGATGTCGTCAGATGCAAAAAAAGAGTCCAGGTCTTCATCTAAAACATCACTAAAGCCATCTCGGGGTGTAACGGCATCCTCTCCTTGTTTAATGCCTCTAAAGTTTGGATTCTGGTGCATGCTGGGAGGATTTGAATGAGGAGGTTTTATAGTACTGAGACTGGAGGATGGCAGCATCTCTTCAGTTTTCTTGTGCGTTGAGGAAACAGCATTGAGCTTAGATGAATTCAGAATAACCTGAATCTGTCGTACTTGCGTTTTGTGCTGATATTGCTGATTCTGGTTGCCATTAATGCAACTAGGAAGAACTGGCAAAACTGGATTTGTGAAATTATTTCCAATTCTAGGCAACCCTCCATAAGGCTTTGCATGTATTCTAGAGTCCTGCTGAAAACTTTGGTCACTTTTCGTCTTTTGCCCTTGAAATGTGCCACGCTCAACATAATTTTTAGCTTGTTGCGTTTTGTTTGTCCTTGCACTGAAAGTATTATGATTCTCATGAGTTTGTTTTTGTGTTGAACTGTACTGTGGTGCAGCAAACAGGTCCGGGTTTTGCGTCATCTCCAAAAGCAACGAGTCATCGAGTAAACCGTCACTGTTCCAGTCGTCATCAAAATCATCAGCCTTCTTAACTTGTTTACTGCCATGGTTTTCTGCCGTAGTGAACGTAGAACCTTTTTGTGAATCGCTGGCTTTCACAATGCTGAGATTTCTCTCAGGAGCTTCCCGAGTACGATAATCTGACGCCTGACTGAGACGCCCGCTGAGCCGCTGAGTCGGCCCATCAAAAAGGAAATCAAGATCATCGTCCATCTCCTGATAAAGTCCCCTTTCATCAACAGGCTTCTCGTCATTGAGTTTTAGAGCAGAACCATTGTGAGCTGTTGTGAATCGGTCGTCATGTGGCGGCTCTTGTTCCTCAGCATGTTTTGAACCCGGTGCATCCGAGTTCTGTTCTTGTGCTTCATCTTGCCTCATGTTGAAGTCAAACTGCTTCGCCAGCCGCATTAGATCTTCTACAGTGCTCTGTCTGTGACATAAACATCAGCAGAATTTAGATAAGTATGGACAGAGTCTAAATACATATACATGATGTTATACATTTATACCTATTTTTCTGTACCATTTATCGTTAATGCGTAGTTCATGCATAAACGAACAACTTTGCACCTTGCTGCATTAATAGTATTTATCATAATGTGAAGCTGCCAATTTTAGCACTCATTTATTACAAATAATTAGATCTTTTGGATTGTCCAACAAGTTTAAAATAAAAAGAGAATATAATAAATATCAATAAAATAATAATAATTCAAATAGGAATAAAATGTATAGTATAGGTACATTTCATTTGTAAATATTAAATCACTAGATCATTCAAAAGCATCAACACATATTTATTTAATATATAGCCATTTACTCCTACCTTTATATATGGACAGGCGGGGCATGCAGAACAGTTAAATGAATCAATTTTCAGGGAAAATCAGGGGGGAAAAATATTTTAGTGTTTACCACATATGCATGGTGTAAATGCAGTTTATTAGATCTCCAGCTGTCAATTATGTCATCAATAATAATACGAAAATTTACTCAATATTCTTGTCTGGAAACTTTTAGATAGTTAAAGCACTCTTATATTGTTTATTGCTTGGAATATCTTTGTTCTTTATTACTGTCTATTTGCTTATTTGCTTTGACGCTATATTTAGTTAATTGAAAAATACTTCATTATTTTGAAATTGTTTTAATTTATTAATAATGTGTGATACAAGTACTTATAATTACATAAGTAATTAAATAATAAACCGCATAAATTAAATATTTAAAGAAGTTAAACTAATTTATTAATTTTAAAGGGGTCATATGATGAGATTTCAAGTTTTCCTTTCTCTTTGGAGTGTTACAAGTTGATTGTGCATAGATAAGATCCCTGAAGTTGCAAAAACTAAAGTCTCAAAACCAAAGAGATATTCTTTATCAAAGTTAAGACTCTGCCATACATCTGATAAAATGTCAAAAGACGGATCAATCAAAATAATGTAAATCATCAAGTTGAGGTCAAGCCTGAGATTGACCAGAGCATTTTTCTTAAAGTTTGCAGTACTATTTTATGAACATTTTTTAAAATGTAAACACATTTGTGTTTTTAAAGTTACAAAACTCAGGATACTGAACTATATACTTTATATAAAAACTATATAACGTCAAAACAATAAGCTGGAGCTTTCAAATTGGTCATGAACGAAACCAGAGGCACATTACTGTCTTGTTTTTGTGTGATTTGGTACCTGTGCTACGGATCTGCCCGGGGTTCAGTGCCGCTGCTTTCGGGCTCCGTCTCAGTCTGTTTACTTTCGACTTCATCTGCGTCTGTTTGGCGATTTCATTTCGCTCGTGTTGTTCCTCACTGCCTTTGCCGTCCATGTTGCTGGATTATTCAGAATGTCTGTATTTCAATATATCATCGACCTGGTATTATATTATTTGTGCTTTTCGCTGCCATCGTGAGCCAGGATTTGTATCAATTGTTCAAACATTCCGCCAAATGCGCAGTTCCTCCCAGGATTCATTGCGGAAATGTGCTCGAGGACGTCAGATGTGCGTAGCTGCTACGCAACAGCAACGTACGCAAGCTCTTTTCTTAAAGGGGTCGTAAGATACGATTTCAAGTTTTCCTTTCTCTTTGGAGTGTTACAAGCTCTTGGTGCATAAAGAAGATCTGTAAAGTTGCAAAGACTAAAGTCTCAAATCCAAAGAGATATTCTTTATTAAAGTTAAGAGTTAACCACGCCTACCTAAAACGGCTCGTTCTAACACGCCCCCACATACCTACCTCACTATGTGGGAAGATTTGCATAATGCCGACCAAATGTTCACGCAAAGAAAGAAGGCGTAACTTATATCCTCGCTGTAGTATTGTTGTTGCACGCCATGTCGTGAACAATGCCGGCTGTTCTGACTCACGTAAGTACGTTTTCATTTAAAGGATTTGCCACTGGCGATTCAAACGCGAGTTTTGGGCAGTAGAGTAGCGCTTGTTTGTCATTTCTCATTCGGCCAATAACAACGCACTGGATAGCTGGCCAATCAGAGCGCACCTCGCTTTTCAGACCGATGAGCTTTGTAAAAGGCGGGTCATAGAGGAGAAACAATAATCAAGTCAAGTCACGTCTGCTTTATTTGCTTTATAATGTACAGTATGTGGAAAATAATGTGTTTTTTTACTTTAAACCGCATAAACACATTTCATTACACCAAATACACAAAATAATGTTCTTTTTAGCAACATCATATGACCCCTTTAACAACAAATAAAAACAATATATCTATAATGAAAGATTTAAATAATAGTTTTTTTTAAGACTAACAGTTTATTACAGAGTGATAATTAGGCACATGGAGCGAATGTCGAGCAGTTGTTTCACGTGAACTGTGGAGTAGTTAAATGTACATGTTTACATTTTCTCAACGTAAAACAATGGCAAAAAATGAGTTACTCAAGTGATGAGCCAAGACAAGAAGTGTGTTAAAGTGATTTTCGTGGGGAAGGGAATTTATTAGGCACAACATCAATGATAATGATGATGATAATAATAATAATAATAATAGGAATACATAAATCAAACAAGTAATATAGTTGCTTAGTCTAAATGCGTGGTCACATTTATTGTTGTACAGCGAAATTCTGTCATTTCCATTGGAATTCATGCCATCTGGGCAAAAGATTTATTCAAAGGGCAATGCTGTTTCATACATTCAGAGTTGTTTACACTGTTAAAGAGTTGGATTCTCATGCTAAGCATTCACAAAGTTTCAAAAAACAATTTGAACGTATGACGGAGTATTTCTGTGCCAAAAATCTTACTTCCGGGTTCGTACAAGTTTCGGAGAGTTCTTTTCGATCGTGGCTCTTCATGACGTAGACAAGGGTGGAACTCCTTATATGGGCATTTCTCCCAACGAGCGCGCCCACTCGTCACTCTTTAGCTCCGCCCATGGCACGCCTCCAGGAGCTCAGCTTTTTCCGGAGAGAATCGTAACGCTGTATCTGTCTTTTATAAATATGATAAAACTAACGACTTTTTGGAGACATGAAGGATGCAGTACTACTCTATAGGTACTCAAGACAAGGGTGGAACTCCTTATATGGGCATTTCTCCCAACGAGCGCGCCCACTCGTCACTCTTTAGCTCCGCCCATGGCACGCCTCCAGGAGCTCAGCTTTTTCCGGAGAGAATCGTAACGCTGTATCTGTCTTTTATAAATATGATAAAACTAACGACTTTTTGGAGACATGAAGGATGCAGTACTACTCTATAGGTACTCAAGATTAACATGAGATTGGGTGAAACTGTGTGTGTTATGCCCCCTTTAAGCAGATTTCTCAACAGGTTCAGGTTGGTCACAAATTCTCCACCTTGACCAACAGAAAAACGCTTGGTTTGAATATGACTTCTGTGTGAGCAGTGTTGCCAATTTAGCAATTTTCTTACTAGATTTAGCAACTTACACACCCCTTTAGTGATGTCTTTCATTGACTTCTAGGACAAACCTTATCTGGTTTCCAAGACTCACCGGTATGACCTAATCTAGCAACATTTGGCTAGCAGGCAGCTACTTTCCATAGAAATCAGTTAGCAACAATGCTACACTATTACACTATTGTGTTTCACTGAAATACTACTTTACTACACAATCTAAAAAAATGCTGGGTTAAATACAACCCAGTGCTGGGTAAAATAGGGACAAACCCAGCAATTGGGTTGTTTTGACCCAGCGGTTGGGTTACTACCCAGAAGGTTGGGGTAAACATTTAACCCAACCGCTGGGTCAAAACAACCCAATTGCTGGGTTTGTCCCTATTTTACCCAGCACTGGGTTGTATTTAACCCAGCATTTTTTAGAGTGCAATAGTAGTACAATAGGCCTACTTTAATACAATATTAATTAATGAGTAAATTAATGAGTAAAATAAGGTCTGTGGTAAAGATATATTTATAATACTTTAACATTTTGCTCTACAATGTCATACACACCCATACTGAAAACGTCAATTTTTATGTTCATAACATAGACTGTATGGTTCATAATAAGAAGCTAATAAGAATGTTTGTGTGTGTGTGTGTGTGTGTGGTTTACATTGTGCCACAAAATGTACAGGTATTGTCAAGTTATATTTACCGCAGACCTTATTTTACTAATGAATACAAAATTAAAAAATTTAAAAAACATTATAAAAAAAACCCATAGGAAAATCTCAAGGCAACTCAAGGTGAATTTAGTCTTCTGGGTTTTGGTCACACTCTCAGAAAGCTGTCGCTGGGGAGCTATCTTTTCAAAAGATACACTTTTGTACCTTTTAGGCACTAATATGTACTCTTTAGGTACTGATATGTACATTTAAGGTACCAATATGGACCTTTCAGGTACAGAGGTGTACCTGTTAACAAGGTACATCCCCAGTGAAAACCTTTTTTCCCCCTTTTTTCTGAGAGTGCACAACTGTATAAAACTGCTGTAAGTCTGTGTTAAAAACCAGTGTCATCAAAAACTATGGCATCTTATGAAAACTTCTTACGTTGTGTGAGGGAGATCCTATATTTATTTATAATGGATTCATTTATGATTTTACGTAGTGACAAAAACTGTAGGCACTATGGTATTTGGTCAAAACTACTGTTTTTCATACCTAAACTAGAGCTTTTTTGAAATGGTTGCAAGCCAGTGTTCTGTGATTCCGATCGTAGACTGAATCCAGTGTGCTCTGTTTGTCTTTTCTGATCTCCTGTTGTAGGTATTCATCATCACACTGACAGAAGTCTGGAGCTCATGGCTTCCACCGTCTGGCTGTGTCAGTGCAGGTCAGGAACTGTGGGAAAGTGTCTGTAGTCTGCAATCAGAGCACATCGTGTGTGTGCTTTTCTGAAATGAACTGTGTCCAAATAATGGTTGATAGTGATCTTAGCTTGTCAGGTCCTTTTTCCTATTGTACTTATGGAGTGATTACATTGTATGAATGTC